AAGTAGATGCATTTAGAAATCTTTAAGATCACTTACAACAGAACAGCAATGCATTTTATGGACGACCGTTTCATGAACCTAGGAGAGGAGGTAATTCTGACTTTGCTATGACAATCTGGCGCTTCTGAATCAGCGAGCGAGCGAGAGAGAGAGAGAGACAGGGTCACAACCGTCTTAACCGTGGCTTGTGTAATGCAAACACATACCAGCTTTATCACTGTCTGTCACGCGACTCTGTTCCCCTTTCGGGCTCTGTCTTTACATTTATTTTGAAAGATGAAGCTCGCGATTATGGTAAGGGGCGTTACATTTCCGACGAGTGCTTGCGGTGGTCGGCCAATCACAATGCACTGGGTCAGCTGGCCAATCAGAGCAGACTGCGCTTGTCGGAAGGAGGGACTTTGTAAAAGAATGTGTTTTTAAACTTTAAAACATGTCAACATATTCTGTTACACCAAATAATGATCTTTAAAAAAAGCATAATATGACCCCTTTAAAATTATTATTATTGCTAAATTATGTAACTTGGCCCTCTAGAGGTCCAAAAAACTGCATGTGTGATGTAGAAGGTGTTTTTGTCGTGCTTCGGCTCTGCTTCTTGACATGGGAAGAATGTGGGTTTTAAAGCATCAGTAAACATGAATACAACATGATATCTTATCAGAACGGTGATGGATAAATAAATAACTTTTTTATACAACCATTAATTCCCCGGTTATCCAAAGCCTAGGCTAGTTATTTTCTCTGTGTTTGGATATGAGTGACATGCATGGGCAAGTTTACATATTTACACAATTTCCCGCAAAATCCGACCCGACAGAAATATCATTATTATTCTTTTTTTTTTTAAGTGTATTTGGGTAAATATTTTTTTCTGCACCCTCGCTAATTACGGTAATTCATTTCCCCGTACAAAGGGGAAACGAAAGACAAGGTATAACACAAACAGAAAAGTGTATTTACCCGAAGAGCTGCAATATCAGATGGAAAGCCATGAACGATAAGAACCATCTCCCTTAAAATGAAAAAAAAGAACATTTACCACAAAAGACCACAGGAGTTCCTGTTTAGAGATCTGATCGTAATATGTCCACCATATGAAATGTTCAGCTGATATCTCACCATGGTCCCCTGCCACTTGTCCTCTTGGCTCCTCCTCGGTGTCGTCCAGCGTTGTGTTGACCTATACGGCGCTCTGGGTTCACAGTGAAGCCAATATATATTCGACCCTTGAATTTCGGGTTAGTACAGTACAGCATATACACACCATAGAAACTCTCCACCTCTACCACCATCCTATTTGCTGCAGTAGCTCAAACACATTTGCAGAGGGAGGGCTAGTAAGATGTGAAGCTATTTCTGTGCTTCTCATATATATCATCTGTTCATATCACTGCAAATCTTTGGCACTATCCAACAACATCAGCATCACACACCACCTTTCAAGACCTTCATCTCAAGCGGCATTGCTATATCCTATTATAATCCAACTAACGTTATGTAACGTAGTTATTAAAGACTAATAAAAGAACAGCGTCTGTTCTGTATCTTCTCAGCTCTACTGTATTGAATCAAAACATTCACCCTTCTTTGGGTTTTAACGGCTTGCATTGGTGTTCTTCTTATAGCTTTACGGCGGTTGGCATCCAGCGTATTGGTGCATTACCGCCACCTTCTGTTCCGGAGTGTGAATCAGAATAGGTTTACAGACTAAATCACCCGTTCTCCCTCCTTTATCCCGACACACTCACATACCCACACACGCACACCTCATCCCTCATCCTTGGTGTTGCAAAACATTCATTTGTTTTGATAATGTGCCTTATTCGTTTCAAACTAGCCCGGTAAGTATGCCCTGAGCAAAATATACAATGCAGGAGTCACTTAGCAAGCGTATACAAATAATGAGTTAAAATAGTTTGCCATAATCCACGTTATTAACAAATACGATTTTGACCATCTATATTGATTTAACTTGATTTGATCATCTGCAAATAGATTATGTGGCTTTTTCGATCGAGCAATTATAGAGAACACCGATAACGACAAGGACCCCAAATTCTTTGTGTTTATTGGTCAGTTTTCATGCGTTTGGGAAACCGTACGATAAAGGGATTGGCCATTACTGTCTTCTAGAGGCGTGGCCTCTGTAATATTCCAAATCCAATTGGGTGTTTTTAGTACTTAGCTCCTCCTTTATAAGGCATACCGGTAGTTCCTAGATAATTAGAAGACAACAACGCTGCCTACCGTATTAAAATCACTAGTCTCAGTGTTTCTATAACCGTTATCTTCACCAAAGCTTAGACTTCATTCTGGGAAATATGTCAGTAACCTCAGATTTGATTCGTGAAAAACTGAGTGCGGAGATTGGTGCGATACACGTGGTATGTAACATGCACAGCCAGATGAAACTAGATTCAAAACGAGTTACAGATCACGTGTGTGAATGAAACAGACAGCAGTTGCTCTTCTTATTTCAGCAGTTAATTCACGAAAATACGTACATTCGGTTCCTTGTTTTTCTTTCAGGATGTAGAAGACACGACTCCTAATAGATGTGCTGCCAGTTTTAAAGTTCTTGTAGTATCTCCTCAGTTTGAGGGGAAAGCATTGTTGCAGAGACACAGGTGAGTTGCTTCTTTTTCCACACGATTCTTTTTTTATGTTCCTTAATGGGATACAAAAGTGTGAAACCACTTCTGCTTTGCACCTTTCTAATTATTATTATTTCTTTTAAATTGATTCTAACACCAGTCAGGAGTAGTGCTCCTAATTTCGTTGTATACAGAAAAATACAATGACAATAAAGGCGTTCAATTCAATTCAATAAATGTGAAGTTATACGAATAACAACTTCAGTTTGAACATCAAACGTTTTAATGACAGCAGCAGTCAAGGTGCATGAACTACACAAATTCTCAAAATCTGATGATCATAATTTAAGAATAATCCAGAATCTTGTGCTTCAGTGGACGAGCATCTGACTTTGTGTAAAAATGAGTCGCATAAGTCGCAAATGATACACAAGCTATTGCTGATATTAGTGACCCAGAGATGGTACAGAATCTTATTTCTTATTCCTTTCTGAACTGTTGTATGTTTCAATCCAAATCCGAAAAGTTTTGTTTTAATCCAATTTTCAGTGCGCTTTTTGGACCTTACTTTATCAAGGTTAACATTAATGAAAACAAAAATTTAAATAAGATGTTTTCTTTGACTGAAACGCTGCTGTAAGAAACTAGCTAAAAACAATAACTACAGGTGCATCTCAAAAAATTTGGATATTGTGAAAAAGTTTTGTAACTCATTTCAAAAAGGGAAACTTTCGTATATTCTAGTTTCATTACATGTTAAGTAAAACATTTCAATTTTTTTTAGCTCTAGTCAAGTCTGCTTTATTGTCAATTCTTCCACATGTACAGCACACATACACAGAGAATTGAAACTGCGTTACTCTCAGACCCTTGGTGCGTACAGTAGAACATAAATACAGATTAAATACAAAATACAACTATACAAATAAGGTAAAATGTAAAAAATATATATATAAAGCATATGGCAGATAGAGTGCAAAACCAGTAAAGTAAACAACAGTGCAGATATAATGATTGTAGTGCAAAAAAGCTTATTCAGACTGATTGATTAAAGTGTGTGTGTATTAGGGAGGGGGGAGTGGGAGAGTCCGTCAGAGGGTCAGAGTTCAGAGGTGCGTGGGGCAAAAGAGGGGAGGGGGGGCAAGGTCGGGAGGGAGTTCAGCTTCCTGACAGCCTGATGGATGAAGCTGTCCTTCAGTCTGCTGGTCCTGGCCTGGAGACTCCGCAGTCTCCTCCCTGATGGCAGCAGACTGAAGAAGCTGTGTGTCGGGTGGGTGGGATCACCTGCAATGCAGAGGGCTTTGCGGGTGAGACGGGTGTTGTAGATGTCCTGAAGGGAGGGGAGAGAGGCACCAACGATCTTCTCAGCTGCTCTCACTATGCGTTGAAGTGTCTTGCGGCAGGACGCGTTGCAGGCGCCATACCACACAGTGATGCAGCTGGTCAGGATGCTCTCGATGGTGCCTCTGTAGAAGGTGCACATGATGGGGGCCGGGGCTCTGGCTCTTCTCAGTTTGCGGAGGAAGTAGAGACGCTGCTGTGCTTTCTTGGCCAGTGCTGCTCTAAAGCTCTAATCATCAAAATTAAAACACAAAACTTTTGAAATGTTTTACTTTACATGTAATGAAACTAGAATATATGAAAGTTTCACTGTTTGAAATGAGTTACAAAACTTTTTCACAATATTCAAATTTTTTGAGATGCACCTGTACAACTATTAAAAAATAATAATTCCAAACTATATTTGCACTGCTCTTTCATACTCTTAGAAAATTACCAGTTTCATGTGTGCACAGTTAATGCCTGCTCTTCTAATTTATTAATGAACAAAAATGTCTAAATCACTGACTTTTATCTTTCAAGGTAACAGACAGAATTGTGATCTGTCTCCATATACAGTAACAACATATACTAGTAGTTGTATATGTAAGATCAGTTTGTTTATGTTGACATTTGTTGATAATATTTACATAAATGTTGCTCTTATGTTAATCGCTCAGTGTTTTTACTATCGTGGTAGGCAAGTTGCATTTCATATCAGTATTGGATATTGCCTTTTAAGAAAAAATTGTGATGCTGTCTCATCTCAGTCAAATATGAAACGCCTGAAGATGGTAGGAAAAAATGTAGTTTGATGGAGTCAATGATGCAGTGTAGAGTGTCGTGAAAAGGGTCATCTGCAGCTGAGAGAGTCCCAGCTGGCTCCGAGTGACACAGACGCAGATGTGCAGACTTAGCAGAATGATCGGAGTCTTTTTATAGGGCCAAGTCATGTGGAAGTGTATTGTCTTTAGAGAGGATAGAGCTGTGGAGGCAAGCTGTGAGGAACAGGCATGCTGGGAACAATAGACTTGCTGACTTCATGTAATGTTTTTATAAATATCTGTGTTTGTTTATTATTTAGGATGGTGAATAATTGCCTTGCCGAGGAACTGAAAGAGCTCCATGCGTTTGAGCAGAAAACATTGACACCAGAACAGTGGGAGAAACAGAAAGCACAGTGACGCATGTGCACACACACACGCACAAAATTCATTTATGCAGCCATCAAATAAGACAGCAGTGACTTTTTTTAATTATTATTTGTTGATATTTCCATCTTTCCTTCCAAAGTATAATAATACCAATGTAATGAAAATCAGCTTCAGTTTTAACTGTCACTAATGCATAACATCTTGTGCAAATCATGTGCTATATAAGGGATCTTTGAAATTGTAGTATGCTGACAATAAAGAACATTTCTGGACCTAATGTTTAGTTTATAGCCAGTTTGTTATTGTGTGCTACTTATTTTCATTTCTGTCTTCTTGGAGTGAGAGCTACCAAAAAGTTTGAAAGATGGGTCAAGCCAAAATGTTTTAATAAAAAAAATATGGCAACTAATAAAACATTCAATACTGTTAATGTAACTTTTTTTCAACAAATTTTAAACTTATTTTATTTTATTTTTTATCTCGGTTCAGTTGGAATTACCCACGTAACAAATGTTTACATGTTACCAGTTGGTGAGAAGTTTTTATAAATGCATTATACTTTGGTGATGTTATTGTTAATGAATGTTAGTGTTCAACCCTAGAATCTCTGATGTAGAATCACTGTAGAATACAGTGATGTCGTCAAATAATACTACCACCATGAACCAATAAGACAAATTCACACTAATTTATTTGAACTTTTAAAGATGGCTTTTTCAAGCATGATTTTCAACTTGCAACTGAAATTTCAGTATGTTCCTCCTACAAAGACAAACTTTTAGTCCCCATCCAACTTTCACATTATCGAAAAGAACAGAATGAATATTTTTCAAAACATGTTCTTTTTGTTCCACAGCAAAGAAAGTCATTTGGAGCTTATAAAAATAACTTCACGGTGACAGCTTTTTCTATTCTGGTGCACCATCCTGAGGCTTCTTGTGTTGCGGTTTCATTCATTCCAGATTTTCTAAGTCAGACAAATACCTCACCGGGCCATTGAGAACCAATAACAAATGGTGATTATTGCAATGATTAACCTTTGAAGCTCATGATATCGAAGTCTTAGAATACCCAGCCAATTACTGCACAATATAAATGCTTTCCAAACAGAAAAAATATGCTTCAGTTAAGATGCCAACCTGTCAGTGATTCAGGAATAGACATAACGTCTTATGTTCAGCCAGATATAAAGTGATTAATAACAGCATTGTGAGAGCAAATGTTTTGTTCATGAAGTTAAAAGCATGTAAGATGTATGCAGAAGCTGAGAGTGCAGACGGCCCTCCTGCTGTTTGACATAAAGACACCAAGCTCCAGCAGGCATTCAGTGCTGTCTCACACAAACACAGTCTGCTCACACTTACATGTGTGTGACAGTAATACTATAGTGAAATCACTATTTATTTTAAGGCTCTGTCACTAAGTGCAGAGAAAAGCAATTTCAGTGCATGACAATAAAAGTAAATCAAATGTGACTGCAGTGTAAATCAGCATGTGCAGGTCTGTCCTTAAAGGGATAGTTCACCCAAAAATGAAAATTCTGTCATCATTTACTCACCCTCAAGTAGTTTCAAACCTGTATGAATGTCTTTGTTCTGCAGAACACAAAAGAAGCTATTCTGAAGAATGTGGGAAACAGAGCAGTTCTGGGGCACTATTGACCTCCATAGTATTTTTTTTCTCCTACTATGGAAGTCAATGGTGCCCCAAAACAGCCTGGTTACAAACTTTCTTCAAAATATCTCCCTTTCTGTTCGGCAGAACAAATAAATTTGCTACTTGAGGGTGAGTAAATGATGACAGAATTTTCATTTTTGGGTGAACTATCCCTTTAACACAATATATTTTATACACAAGCAGTAAAATGTGAAACCACAGAAATCTCACTCAAAAAATGTAAATATATCAGCACTTCACACCAATGGTACAAACGCTGCCACTGTGGTGGGGCCCTTTGAAAATCTTCTAATCTGTACCATTTAGGTACTGCTAGTATGTACATTTTAGGTATTAATATGTATCTTTAATCTTTAATGTTACGTTCAACACCGAAGCTTGTAAAAAAACAACAACACGTCACATTGAAGCACTGTATTGGAGCTTGATTCGTTTTGAGAAAAGCACGTGATCTATGACGTCCAGTCTTCATTCGCCTGAAAACCACGTGACTGCTTCAGTATCTGGTTCTAACGAAGCGAACCTCGGCACCATTTCCTTTGCATTAGCCTATATTACATTGTAATGTGTTAGCATTGTTTTTTTGTTTTGTTTTTAATCGTAATTTATATATTGAGCTCAAATATGAACTCTGGCCATGAAATAACAGTCTAAGGACTGAGGCAGAGTTCAAATAAACAGATCATAGATTTAATTTGTTTTATGTATTTTACTTATTTTTAGTGCCAGTACACTGACAAAAATGAATTACTTTGACAATGACCATTATTCATATAAAATATAATAAAACAAAGAATCAGTTGTAGAACCAGATGTGAAACCGCTGGCTGTAATGGAACATAACACTTAGTTATGTCACTTTACATGCTAACTTAACAGTTAGAAGTGTTATTTATTTTTATGACCAAGATGGCCACAGCATAAAGCGTTTTAAAAAGCTTCGAGTAATATATATATATATATATATATATATATATATATATATATATATATATATATATATATATATATATATATATATGGGTGTAACTTTGGTTTGAGAAGTGGGGGGGACACAAAATGGGAGGAAAATGTTTTCGATTTGAATCCCATTTCCTGCATGTACATACATTTAGGGACTATGGTGATACAAAATCCAGGAAATAATTAAGTTGATTAATGATCAATTCTGCCAAAAAGAATAGTAGGCTACTAAACCATGTAGGCCTATAAGAAAAATATGTCTTACTTTCTTTATTGTTTAATAGGGGCCGATCGCCAAGACTTGAGAGAATCATTTTATAAAGTTGAAAATGTTCACAATTAATGTTTTGAATAATGTTTAAATAATGTGAAACTCAATTTCCACTGTTAAACAAACTTTTATATCAAACTAACCGCTGTACCTGAAAATATAAAATGAATCACTTGTTGCACAGGACAGGATGCACAGGATGTTCTACATCAGTGGTTCCCAGACTTTTTAGAGTGGAGTACCCCCTGAGGCATTCCTGTTCAGTCTGTTAGCTAGTAATGACTTCACTTAATTATCAGTAAGACACTTAATATACTGACATTGCCACTTGCACACAGCAATTTCTGTAATATTTTATTTATTTACTTATTTAACTCTATTGCTGCTGTGTAACTACCCTGTGCAACCTGTTTGCACATTCTTCTCCTGTACATTCCTGCTCATCTTAATGTTTATTAAGTCTACAGTATACTGTCCTGCGCATTTTATTTTATTCTTATTTTTTAATCTTTTTTCCATACCTATATTTATATATAATTTTCTTGTGTTTGTATTCTTTAATAATTGCACTGTCCATGGAGCGGACCTGACTTACATTTCACTCCAATTTATATGACAGATTTTAATGTAGGCTTTTATACATATGTAAACATTATTTAATTACCATTATAATTAGCTATCTCTCAAATTTTTGCTCACTCGGTGTTTTTTAAAATTTTACAGTGGGGTAATTTTGGTGCAGTAGCACGAGATAATTTTTATTCAATTCAAAGTTTGAAATCAAGCTGACAAGCAAGCAGTCAGTAATAAAATAAGAACAAATAAACAAATGAATAATTATAGCACAAATAAAAAATAACGACAAATTGCTTTTTAGTTTTTCAGGTAGGTCTAACAGTAGGGTTAAGATATTTAACTTTCTTTTTTTTTTTTTACCATTTATCCAAATAATGTTTAGTCCTAGAAAGCTATTATTATCAGAACATGCGAGCATAACATAGCGGTTAGCAGATCAATGAATGAGAGGGCAGCGTTACCAGAGTTGCCCATATACCACACCATGTTACAGCACAGTAGGGCTATTGCAGACAGAAACAATTTTTGAGTGGACTTTGCTGTTCCGATTCGCTTGAATGGTTTACGAGTGCAGCACTCACATGAGCCGTGAGCGACTGAGCAGAGCGCACACACGCATAGAGTGGATAATACGCAGAGCGTCACACCATGTGAAAGTGAAACCTGAGCGGTGAACTCATTTTCGGCAGCCGAATTTCAGTGCATCTCTAATTATTGGCGACACCAGAAATGGATATTATATAATATATGACTTTTTGAACATTTTAGCAATTTAAAAATATTAAAAAATGATTTTTTTTTACACGGCACCCCTGCTCTCGACAGACGGCACCCCGGTTGGGAAACACTGCTCTATATAACCATGTATGTGACAAATAAAAATCTTGAATCTTCTGCGTAGGCTCTCTTCCACTTAGACTGCACCTTTTCCCCTAAATTGACTTTCCAATGCATTTTTTTATCTTTATAAATAGAATATTAATGTTTAAAAAAAGTTCAATAGATTAATAATATGCAATTGATGATAAAAAAGTGAAAAGTGATTCTTTTAAATACTAAAATCGCCAGTAGGTCTTAATGCGTGAGTCATCGAGTCATTTGTTCATTCAGTAACTAATCAAGTGGGTGTATTTATAAATGAATCATTGAATAAATGATTTTCGTGAACGATTATACATACATACACACACAAGTGAGTTATTATTATAATTATAATTATAGGGCTTCATGTTAATGTTAATTTAATGTTTTTGCTAAAAAAAAAGTGCATATAGCTGCTAATTGTTTTTGTTGTTTGTTGATTTTCAAATATAAAACTTATTGAAATGTTTTCAGTGTGTGTATCAGTTCTTTTTGAACGTTTTCATCTAATTTTAACAAAACCGTGATAATATTGATAATCGTGATAACTTTGGTCACTATAATCGTGATATGAAATTTTCATACCGTTACATCCCTATTTTGGATGTGATTAATCGCGATTAATCATTTGACAGCACTAAAGCCCCGTTCAGACTACACGATTTTAGCCCGATTTTGCCACGATTTGCTTGACGTAGGGTGTCGTGGGGATTCGTAAATGACAATGGGCGTCAGGACGCAAGATTCCATTGTTTCAGCACGTATATTGTGTCATAGTGGACGACAGCCGATTCTGCGTCTGCGATGCTTCACGACATCACGACAGAAAGACTAGCATGTTTAATTTTTTTTCCGTCGTCCACGACGAGTTCCCTTTCATGGGAACTTCGAACTGCATCCTCTAGGGGTCGCTATGGGCAACTCCTCGTCGTGACCCGTGTCTGAAGCATACATTGAAAAAACACCAACTCGTTGGCCGGTGACAGCCATGACGTCACTACCGGTGCGACTATAGTATAAATAGGCGCCGGGAGCACACATCATTCTC